TGTGGGTATGTAGGCCTCAGGTTTTGTTCCAGGGGGCTCTGGGCTCCTCGCTGTAAGGTGATGGGGGTTGCTGGGCATGCCGGGGGCTACCCCCTCACCGGTTTCTAGTGGGTCGGATAGCCCCAAGTTCTCCCCCTCTGTCTCCCCTGAGCCTACTGGGCGTCCCCCTTCTGTGTTACCCCCCTGGAGTTGGCCTGTTGTTGCTGGTGGGGTTGGAGTCTCTCCTGTCCTACCTTTACAGGCTGCTCAGGACCGGGGCTCTTCCTAGGCCTCCGCGACTCCTATACTCATTCCCATTTCACTGGATGTTACAGCCTCGGCCTCCTGTCTCGAGTCCACGCCTGTACCGCCTGTTAAGTACCTATCGGCTACCGGGGCCGGCGGGGTGGGGTGGGGCGCTGGTGCTACGTCACTGTCTGGGTGGCATAGTTTAGTGGATAGTATAAAGGGGTTTTTGGCACAATGGAAGTGCAGCATGGGGGCTGCCTCACTGCAGCCTCCCCCCTTGGATGCGCAGATCTGGGACTGAATACAGATCTCCCTCTGTCTGATAAATATTCCAAGGACTCAGAGAAAGACTGGGAGAAGTTTTGTTACCGGTAAATCCAAAAAATGTTTGGCAACTGGATTTGGGCCTTTTCTATCATGGCAAGCATGATAGGGGAAAAGACCCTGGAGCTCTGCTCGGCCCTGTTCTGCTACCAAGATTTAGTTTGGAACGCAAGCCAGATTTATGGGGGTCTAAACTGATGGCGCAATGACAAACAATTTCAGCAGTGGCGGGCCGTTTATCTGTCCATGGAGTGGGACCAAATTGACATTGGGCTGTTGTTATCAATTATGATGCGTCCCATAAGGGAGGCTTGTCGTCCTTTCTCGGGGGGGGGTGGGGGGGGGCAGCGCGGGGGGCTCCTTTCCCGCTTCGGCCACTCTGCTGCGTCCAGGATGCTGTTGGCTGTTTAACCACAGCCACTGCAAGTGGGAGGGCAGCTGTAAATTCAAACACGAGTGCTCAGTCTGTGGGGGGCAGTCCCTCCACAGCTGAATGCTTCAAGCGGGGTAGATCAAGGGACAAAGGAGACACCGTGGGGAAGAAGGGGGAAGACGCCGGTGGCTGCTCCGGGGGTTCAGGGAGGGGTTCTGGATCCCTCATCGGGAGAAGGAGGCATTGGATCCCCGTCGCAACCTGCGGTCTGTAGGGGGATCAACCGGCAGTGGTGAGGGGGAAACTGGAGATGGAAGTGGTTCTGGGGTGCATGGTGCGGTCATTCTCTCACCTGTTGGTTTCTCCATTAGGAGTAGACCATATGAAGGAGCCGGGGAAGTTTCGGCGCATTCACCATTTGTCCTAGCAACCCGGGGGTTTCTGTGAATGGGGAAATTGATGAGGACCTTTGTAAAGTCTCGTATGCCTTGTTTGACGTGGCTGTGCGCATGGATCGGGCGGCAGGTCCAGGCGCGCTCATGGCCAAGGCTGACATCAAGGTTGTCATCACCTCCTGGGCTGCTACTTTGAGGATAAATACTATGTGGAACTCTGCTTGCCCATGGGGTGCTTGATCTCGTGTTTTTATTTTTAATGTTTTAGTACATTCCAGCGGGGGTCCCCCGTCTGTTCCCATGTATTGCGATCGTTGGAATCAGTTTCACAGAATTTCTCTTGAGTTAGAGTACTAAAAAAGACTGGACATATATCCTATTTATAATACCTTGGGTTGTCTACTTTTGCAAATGGTATGCCATCATGGGGATAGTTCTCATTCCTGGGCTACCATACGGGTCTCAAAGTCATTGTAACCTATCTGGCGAATTTCAATGTGAACAAACTAAAACACAAGACTGATATATATATATTTGAAGTCTACGTGTATATTTATATAATTATTTATGTAATTTTGTATATGGACGTATGTATATTTCTTATTATTTTTATTTATTTTTATATACATAGATATATATACAAATTAATTCTAAGTGTATTTTGATATAAATATATATATATTAATTTTAAAATACAGTTAGAATAAAATTTCATATAGCTATATAATTTTTTTTTAATTTTTTATTATTATTTAAAAAAAAATTTATTTAATTTAAATTACTTATTATTTATATTTTATAATAATATATATATACAATATATATAGTTATTATATATATTATATATATACGTGTGTAATTTAATTATAAGTGTATTTTATATTAATATAAGTACATATTAATATAAAAATACACTTAGTATGACATTATATATATATGATATATAGACATATATTATATAGATATAATATATGTCTATATATCATATATACACATATATAATTATTTATTTATTTTTTATTAACATTAACTTTATTTATTTTTTTGATTTTACACTAGCAGGGAGACTGCCTGTCAGCACAGACAGTCCCCCTGCAGGCAGACACATGGACACCTATTGTGACCATGTGATCGCTGTGTTAAGCGATCACATGGCCACAGGGGTCCTAATCTGCCGTGGGGAGACTGTCTGGGCTGCAGGCAGTCTCCCCACAACCGGAGCCACGCTGATCGCCGCCGGGGGAACGACGGCGATCAGGTAAGTAGCTCTGACCGTTAGGACGGTTCAGGACCGTCATCGGTCGGCAACGCAAAAATGCCGATGACGGTCCTGAACCGTCCTCGGTCCTTAAGGGGTTAAATAGAATTTGCATAATAATTTAGAACAGGGTGTATATTGTGATATATACATATTTATTTATGTATATAGATATATATATATTATTTCGTTCTAAGTGTGTTTTGATATCAATATATATGTATATTTATATCAGAATACACTTAGAAGTAAATTACACACACATATATATAATTATATTTATATTAAAATACACTTAGTGTATGTATGTGTAAGTGTGTGTATATATATATATATATATATATACTTAGATCACATTTACATATATATATATAATATATATATATATTATATATATGATCTAAGTATTTATTATTTCATTTTAAACTGCTTTAAAACTTTATTTTACTTTATTACAGGCAGCAGGAGGACTACCTGTCATTCCAGGGACTCCCCCTGCTAGCACTGCTATGGACGGCTATTCCGTCCATTTGATCGTGAGGTCCTCGCAAAGATCTCGGGATCACAAGTCATAGAAACATAGAATGTGACAGCAGATAAGAACCATTCGGCCCATCTAGTCTGCCCACTTTTCTAAATACTTTCATTAGTCCCTGGCCTTATCTTATAGTTAAGATAGCCTTATGCCTATCCCACGCATGCTTTAACTCCTTTACTGTGTTAACCTCTACCACTTCAGCTGGAAGGCTATTCCATGCATCCACTACCCTCTCTGTAAGTCCACGATCGTGATCGCCTGCAGGGGATCGCCAGCAAGCAGGTAAGCCCATCTGCAGGGGGTTAATGAGAATTGATTAAATGTATTTTTATGAGGAGATACTAAGGAGATGCGTTTTTCTGCGTGTGCGTGATGTCCTCCCAATGCTTTCCTATGGGAACGCATTGGATTGGCTGAGATGATCAAGTCTGATGATATCAGCCAAGGGGGCTGAATGTTGTGGGCTACTGCTGACTTAATTAGAGGAGTTATCCCTTAATTTCCGCCTTGTGGGTTTTTGTATACCAATATAAACCCACAACTGACTCACTGAGCTTGCTCGCTGTGCTTAAACGTTGCTCAAAAGTAGTCTTTTGTAAGTAGGATTTGAAAAAAAAAAAAAAGGAACAAGGTACTTATTGTTTTATAGTTCATTGTTCATTGTTGATTTTGGTAACTGTGGAATTGGGTGTTAGCAAGATTGCATGTATGCATGTCTGGGTGAATCTGTCCAGGGGTCCATACTTCTGAGGAAGGTGTGAGCGAGTGGTTTTTCTGGAAGCTCGTATTGGAAATCTGAAGAACCAAATTGCAACATTGAAACAGATTGAGAATCAAGAGAGGTATCTGAGCAGAGCACTAAGGGAACAACTCCTTTAGTACAAGTGGAGGTAAGCATGTAAAAAAAAAAGCTAGACAGGTTGTGGTGGTAGGGGACTCTATTATTATGAGAATAAATAGGGTATTTATTTATTAAATATTTTACCAGGATGGGTACATTTAGATTTCTCTTGTTTTCAAGTATGTCCTGGATCCACAAAACATTGCACTGTTACAATAGGATACAATTTTACAAAAATACAATTTACAAACACTATATATATATATATATACACACACACATATATAAATTTACCACATAACAGGTAATAAATATATTCAACCATGACAGGTGCATCTGTGCTGAGGTATACTGCCATAGATCTCTTAAAAGATTTTAGATTGAATGAAGATGTGCCTGTGTCCCTGAGGCTGCCTTCTCCCTGGTGCTCAGGTCTGGCATGTTGCTGCCATGTGTGAAGGTAGTGGGGGCGGTGTAGGATGTAGATGAACATACCCATATATTAGCTTGCCTTAAAGGGACACTCCAGGCACCCAGACCGCTTCTGCCCATTGGAGTGGTCTGGGTGCCAACTCCCACTACCCTTAACCCTGCAACTGTAAATATTGCAGTTTTTTATTAAATTGCACTAATTGCCTAACAGGGTTAACTCCGCCTACTAGACAGCCACTAGAGGGACCTCTGGGTTTGTTTTCCTGGCACTGGGGCGCCCCTTTAACATCATTAACATGAGCCATCATGGAATGTCTACCTAGGCAGTGACGTCATGCGGGGGATCCTGGACACGTTAATAAACTGGGCGGGACTGTGTTCGCCGCCCTACCCTCAGCCAATCACAGGATGGGATAACTGGCAGTGGGCGGTGGCCTCCCTACTTTCAGCCAATCATACTATGGGATTAGTGGCAGTGGGCGGTGGCTTTCTTGCTCTCAGCCAATCATAGTATGGGATTAGTGGCAGTGGGCGGTGGCTTTCTTGCTCTCAGCCAATCATAGTATGGGATTAGAGGCAGTGGGCGGTGGCTTTCTTGCTCTCAGCCAATCAGTGGATGAGTTGAGCGGGAGTGGCGGCCGCCGGTGGAGTGATTCTGGCTGAGGTGTACCCACGCAGTGTGGGGACCCCCGGGTCCCGAGTCCGGCCCGTCGCTGAGCTCCTCTCCCGGTGAGGATCCCCATGGCGGAGCCCACCCGGCATGCCGTGCTCGGGGTGAACGTGTCCCGGCTGGAGGAGCTGAGGCTGTGCCCGGGCGGCAGCCGCTGGATCTGGCAGTTCTTACAGCAGTGTGTGCAGAGTGACTGGGAGTACTGGAGCGTGCTCATAGGGCTGCTCTCCATACTGTGCTTCCTGCTCGCTGCATTCCCGTGAGTGGCTCGGAGGGAGCATGGCTCCATGTCCGGGGGGCGGGTTATATAGAGCGTCTCATAGGCCTGTGTCCAGGGAACCCCACAATTTATTATTTAATGGGGTGTGAATGTGAGTCTTGTGTAAGGCTGGCTGTGTGTGATGTGAGTGATTATATGTAACTGTGAGTGATCGGTTTAAGCCACTGTAAGTGATGGGTGCTGCTGAGTGCAGCTGGCTGTGGGTGATGCTGAGTGCAGGTGGCTGTGGGTGCTGCTGAGTGCAGGTGGCTGTGGGTGATGCTGAGTGCAGGTGGCTGTGGGTGCTGCTGAGTGCAGGTGGCTGTGGGTGCTGCTGAGTGCAGGTGGCTGTGCTGCTGAGTGCAGGTGGCTGTGGGTGCTGCTGAGTGCAGGTGGCTGTGGGTGCTGCTGAGTGCAGGTGGCTGTGGGTGATGCTGAGTGCAGGTGGCTGTGGGTGATGCTGAGTGCAGGTGGCTGTGGGTGATGCTGAGTGCAGGTGGCTGTGGGTGCTGCTGAGTGCAGGTGGCTGTGGGTGCTGCTGAGTGCAGGTGGCTGTGGGTGCTGCTGAGTGCAGGTGGCTGTGGGTGCTGCTGAGTGCAGGTGGCTGTGGGTGCTGCTGAGTGCAGGTGGCTGTGGGTGCTGCTGAGTGCAGGTGGCTGTGGGTGCTGCTGAGTGCAGGTGGCTGTGGGTGCTGCTGAGTGCAGGTGGCTGTGGGTGCTGCTGAGTGCAGGTGGCTGTGGCTGCTGCTGAGTGCAGGTAGCTGACAGGGCTGACATAAAAGATAAAATAGATATCGGAATTTTATAACACAGTAGCTCACTTTAAGATTTTAAAAATATATATTCAATAATATAAATTAGAAGTCCTCACTAACCCAATCAAATATACACATATAGAGACTGCAATCAGTCATGGAAGTGTTCATTTAGAAAGGCACACATACCTCTAATATCGTCTTATGATTGATTGTTGGGACCGTTAACCGCTGTTCACAAAAGGCCAGCAGGAGAGGACCCGATTATCAGGACTTTCCTTCTGAAATCAGAACTGTTGGGAGACAGGCTCGTATTTTAAAAAATCTATTTTCATTTTTCATTAATATTCCTTTAAATTTTGGGGAGTTTTTATTTTATTTATTTTTTCCTGTTGTGATAACTATTCCACAGTAGTATTCTTAAATGAAGCCACTTTGTCCATGTTTGGTTTTTGCCTCTCTGTACGCATGTGGTTCCAAATTAAGAGGTTTTTATTTTTTTTGTTTTTTAATAAATGATTTGGGTTTTTGTTTTATTTTTCTCCTAGTCAGCTGTATGTTGCTTACAAAAATGGAAAGGTTGATCAAGCACTTTCTGTTGGATTTTTGTTGTGTTGGTTTGGAGGTGACTTAACAAACTTCATAGGCTGCTACCTGACCAGCCAACTGCCAATTCAGGTAAACTATTTTCTCAAATATTATTATTAATTTTAAAATATGTTTGCATTATTAGCCATACTTAAAAAAAAAAAAAAAAAAAAATTTGTATTATTCAAGGGTGTTGTTTATTGGTACAAAAGTCATTGCAAGATTGATACAGTATACATAGTATTGTAACATTAATGGTAACATATGTCACATAGTATGAAACGAGTTAGTATAAGTGTGCCGTTTAATACAAGGGATGGTGGTTACTACCAACTCAATTGTGAAGTTGGTTGCTCTTTGGCAGGCGGGCTTTAGTGGTAAAAACGTATTTATGGATGGGGCAATCTGTTTGATTCATCTGATTTGAAGAAAAATAGGGCATTGGAGGGTATGGGTCAGCAATGGTGAGGATGAGAAAGGAAAAGAGGGGGAGGAGAGAGGGGAAAAAAAAGAAAACTGGGAGAAGAAGCAAGGCGAATAGTTAATTATACGAATACAAAATAGCTGTGGCTAGAATAATGGCGCTTTGTGGTATTAGGTGAAATTATTTGGTTTAGCTGCTACATGCACTTAGTGGGTTCTCCAAAAAAAACACTATAATTGTCAAACCAGAGAGAAAACAGATTACCAAATAGTGAGTCAGTATACAGAAACTCTCACACTACTTGATAGAAGTGCAGCGCTAAGTGTAGTGTTATAGTAGTGCAAATTGTACGCTTGCCCCTTACAATACACTCGGGTTATACATGTAAAATAAACACTACTTGTTTTCTCACTGAATAGTTAATTATCCCCATCTCATCGGTACATCAAGTTGAGAGGGGATGTGGTCCAGGTCCGGCAGTGTATGTGTCTTTAGGTTCTGTTGTATGGTCAGTTCTGTTTGGTCTGGTATTCGTATTCCAAGCCCAGGGTTTGTTTACCTGGTTGTCAGCCATTGGAGCCATTGAAACCAGATCTTCAGGTACAATTGGTTCTTCCCATCCACTGTCAGGGTAAGTTCCTCTATGTTCCTGATGTCTTCAACTCTGATCCAGTATCCAGTGGAGGGGGGCTGAGATCTGTTTCCAGTAAGTCATTTGTTATTCGTAGTCAGTGATAGGGGAGGTCAGGTGCAGCAAGTAGCATCCGTGAGTGCGGCTAATAAACTGTATGCTTGCATTTAAACTAGTGTTAATGAATATGCATATAATTTGTTTTGTTTTTAAATGCATGATTTTTTTTTTTTTTTTAGACTTTTACAGCCATTATTTATTGCAACATGGACATAATCATGATTTCACAGTATGCCTACTATAAATTAAAGAACAATAAAATGAAAGGTAATTTTTCTTCCATCTTTCTTTTCCTTCAGTAGTTTGTAAAAGCAGTGAGTTTATGTGAAGAATATGTATGATCATTCTGAACATTATCACTATGGGGTTTATTTACCAAATGGTGAATTGTACAAAAAAAAAAAAAAAAAATTGACTAAATTTAACAAAGTCAGAAGCCTAAGTTGGTGGATTTGACCTATCTGGCTATGCAGGGCAAATCTTCCCTGTGATGTTGGCACGCTGGCTTAGCTCCCGGCGTTGGAACGCAGTAATGTCAGTCTGTTCCTATACTCCTTAGCTGGGTCTTATTAAGCCTGTGGGAGGTCTTTTCTGCTCTCCCTTGTCAGTCAGTGCCTCCGTTGCCAACAAAGGCAGTGTGCCAGTGGCACAGAGGAGATTTGCCCTGCTTGGAGATGCGTCCCAAGCCGGGAAAATCTCGGTTACGTCTGCGCACTGGATTTGTTGCCAGCCGAGGAACCACAGTGCTATGGGAGGTCTTTTTCTGCTCTCCCTTCAACAGAGAGAAACCATTATTTTTAAATGGGTTTTTCTCCGAATATATACATTTTCTAGCAAAATGTATAGTTAAAATCTGGTGCTCAACCTAATGAGCACAAGTTGTTTGGGGCAGGGCAGGTCCTGTTTATTCTAGCAGGCATTTATGTGCTTGAATGCCGTCGATTAATTTATTTATACGCTATTAAGCATGAAAAATATCAAATGATTTATTGGTCATTGACCTTGTAGGTTTCGCTACTTGCAATTGAGGTCATGGACATTGTTTGGCTTAAAAAAAATATTTTGAATATTTTTCAGAGAGTGAGTTTGATTGGTAGAGGTGGTTGTAGATATGATTAAAAAAAATATATATATTGCAGGTCATTGGCATATGCTAACAAGTCTCAAATAGTTTACAAATGCTAAGACGCCATTGTAATGTTCAGTAACTGACCATACCTAAAGTGTTGAAAGTTCGATTTTTGGTAAGGTTCAATACTGCCACAATCTCCATGGAAACAAACATACATACGGCTTTTGCTGACCATTCTACTCCTAGATCGTTGTCCTATCATCGCACTTTATACATATAATCATAAGTTTCTGCATAATGTAAATTTGTTTAGATTTGTTTTTTTAGTAAGTATATTCACTAATTACAACCTGGTTCTTTTAGATGTTGTTGGGACTGGAAGCTTGAAAGGATTTTGCATATGCTGGGTCATTTTGTGTATAGTCTTATCTGTTCTATTACCTAGTCAGCTGATACTCGGAAACCTAGACCGGAATGCGGACGTGGATATGAGCCAGGTACATTAAATGGTTACTTTGGCTGTATGTATAATATCAAATATAAAGATGTTTGGAAAAGAAAATCTTTGTGCTAAGACTGGCTCGTAATTTTCTCATTGTAAAAAGTTAATAACGAGCAGACAAACATATTCACTTCTCGGAGAGAGAAAAAAAACGATGTATCCATAATATGCATGTAAGCTATGCACTGGTAACTGGCTACTTCCCTTTATATTGATAACTGGAGAAACTGTGTTAAAATATAGCTGCTGCTTCAGAAAATCCCTCTCCTCCTCAGTTTTTCACCGCCAAAAACCAAAAAGTCCCCTGCATAAGAGACACTGTCAGATGTTTACTTTCTCATTGCAGCTGAATTGACACAGGCTTGGGAGCCAGGACCAATAGCCTACCTGTGCTATAATAACCACAATAAGCTCAAGGGGTTATGCTGCGGGAGTGTCCATTGAACATAAGTTCTGTCTCTTGTCTATTTTGCTATGTATAAAGAGGATTAAAGTGTGTTTATGCCCCTGACCAAAAATGCAGTTACAGATATTTTTAGTTTCCCATTCTAATCTTTTTATTGCAAGAGTGCTCATGTCAGCAAAGGGTGGTGCTGTTTTAGCCTTGTGAACATTTTATGACCTTTCTCTTACTTGTCATCACCTGCGACAATATCTTCAATAACAAATTGTTCAAATATTTATTCTGGTGCAGCTGTTGTACCGGTCTTGTCCCAGCAATAATATTTAGTAGTTGTTTAGACACAATAGGGGATTAAAAATAAAAAGTATCTAGAAGTTGTGCTTTTTTTGTACTGCCTTGAGTGCTCATAATTCACACTCCACTAACAGTTGACATGTAGAATTTAGCCTCACGTTAGTATGCCATAGACACTCCACGCTTGCAGTGTTTAGGAACTTTTTAGGCCTGGCTAGTATTGTAGGGCTAGAATTTCCCCCCACACCCCCACCAGTAAATGATTGTTTTGTGTATTCTTTTACACTACACTTTATTTTTATCTTTTCTCCTCAAAAAGCAAGTCAGAACGTTTGTACAATATTAAACTTTAATATTTTTTTGTATAAACGTTTTTAAATGATTTTTTTTTTTTTAAACCATTAAACTATAAATGAGAACCTGTCACTATATTTAGTATATCATTTTCAAAATATTTAAATAATTTTAATATATATTCAAATCTATTAAATTAAGGTCCTTATTCGTTAAAACCAATCAATTGGGTTGTAAGACAAAAGATGAATCTGTTCAGACTACTTTGAAAATACTTTAAAGTGAAGTTGTTTTTTATTTATTTTATTTTTTTAAAAATAACACTTTTCAAAACACTCTGATTATGCCCCCTTCCTCCCCTGATGAATGCAATATTTAGTCTTCTGAAACTTTACATATCTCACTCTTGTAATGCATAAATAATAAGAAACAATTTGTGAAATTTATTTATTTTTTAGGATAATTTTGGCTTCACTGAAATGTCTGGTTTCATTTGTGGATATGTCTCTGCCCTGTTTTATTTGAGCTCTCGTTTCCCTCAGTTGTATAAGAATGTAAGTATTCATCCATCGTCTTTTTTTTTTTTTAATTTGTGCTTTATGTTCTATAAAATGTAATTGTGTACGGTATGTTTTGAAAAATAATGGGAGTACATGTATAGTCTGTATTATGTAACACTTTTATTATTCACAAATCTTACCTATATTTGTCTGTCATCACATTTTACAGTTACCTGGCACAATTTTACTATGCAAGGTAGACCTAGAATTGTGTCCATGCACATACACCCCCCCCCCCACCACCACATTCCACTTTTAACAGGAATTCACTCCACTACATTCCAATGGGGAAGCTAAAACTTTTCACTATAAATTACTTTGTATTGTGAGACTTTAAGTCTCAGGCCTTTTTTTAGGTGAAACTGTTGAGGCTCTGGGTACTGACTTGTACATTATATTCTTCCATAACAGAATATAATTTTGGTTGCTCCCAGATAATCCATTCAGTGTATGCATGCTATTATTTTGAAGTTCCTAGTACAGCATATGTATTTCTTTATACAGTACTCACGTTTAAAACTCAGATGCACTTATTTTTATTTTAACAGCTTTTATTTGACTTAGATTAGGGATACCCTGATAATCTGAATTTAATAGATTTCTATCCCCATGATGGGTATCTTTTTCTCACCATTGGCAAGGTTAAAAAATGTGTATTTCTATTGATTTACGATTTGTGACCCTGACTTTACACAGACCTCAATGAGTTAGTAGGGGACTTGTGGAACATAATGCATGTCAACCTGGTTGCTGATGGATAGACTCTGGCATTTCATATGAACAGGAAAAGCGTTCCAAATCAACGCTATTTGTAAAGAAAACAAAGGTGTTATTTTAGAAGATCTAAGCTTAAATAAAATTGTTCTTATACCTGAGTGAGTAATGTATTAGTCTCTGTAGCATGGTTGAATTCCACAATCATTGTAAACAGACAAACATGTGACACCTCAATCTTTGTGTAACCATTATGTATATTTCTAGATATCCTGTAGAACTGGACTGTTATGTTACTTATGTAAAATATTTGGTATCTTGGTGCTTTTTCAAAATGAATAATTGGTGGGGTGCTAAATTTTTTTTTTTTTGTAACTTAACCTTGCCTGGCTTCCTGAATACACTGCATTAGAAAAGATTGTCTCCATGTTTATTATAATGAAATGGTTTTTGGTGTATAGATAATTTCCCTATTATGTCACTGCTCAGTTCATTGCCATTAAGTATTTAAATTACTGTGGTTTTCCAGCCATATCTCCCCTGCACAATTTAGATGTGGGTCATAAAAACCAAGTGTGCACTATTTTAACCTGAAATCCATGGCTAACATTTCTTAGCATCATCCAAATATCCATCAACGTCCAAAAATGGGAATCTCCACTGCAAACGATAACCCATGGATACCGGAGCAATAAGAACTACTGTTACTGTGCATAACACATTTCTACGTCCACCTATGGGCACAGTATGTGTATTGTCTGCATTTGATCATTACATTTAACAAGAAAGCAAATCTGACATACTACAACAGTATTTACTTGACAAAAGGGGCTAAAAACCTCAGGGGAAAAAATTGTCTTCAGGATCAATTTACTTGGCCATGGAGGATTGTGTTGCAGTGTGTTTGTGATTGGTTTTTGGTTATATTTTAATGACCAATTCCATGTCCACTTATTGCACCTTGTGCTAAAACACATTTAAAATGACACTATAGTCACCTAAACAACTTTAGCTTAATGAAGCAGTTTTGATGTATAGAATGTGCCCCTGTAGTGTTTCTGCTCAATTCTCTGCCATTTAGGAGTTAAATAACTTTGTTCATGCAGCCCCAGTCACACCTCCCTGCATGTTACTTACACAGCCTTCCTATACACTTCCTGTAAAGTAAGATCTAACAGTTATACTTCCTTTATTGCAAATTGTGTTTAATTTAGAATTTCCTACCCCCACACTGGAGCCTCCTGGAATTGATTAAAATTAAATTTACAGAGCAGGAGATGAAATATTTTAAACAAAGTTATATCTGATTGAAAATGAAACTTTTTTAAAATTTTATTTTTATTTTAATGCAGGCTTTCATTCAGTCACAGCCAGGGGAGGTGTGGCTAGGGCTGAATAAACGTAAACACAAGTGATTTTAACTCCTAAATGGCAGAGAACTGACTAGTGAGACTGCAGAAGCATTATCTATACACCAACATTCCATATTACACATTACATATATTGTTGTAATTACACATTAAATATTTATTTTCTACAATTGCTTTATTTAAATGTTTGTATTTTCTCTCACTTTAGTTTCAAAGAAAATCAACAGAGGGAACATCCTATTTGCTGTTTGCACTGGCCATGCTTGGAAACTTAACCTATGGCTTGAGTTTGATCCTGAAGTTACCTGCCTGTGGCCACCATAAAAATCTGTATATTGTACACCATTTACCCTGGCTGATCGGGAGTTTTGGTGTTCTTATACTTGACTTTTTTGTATCCTTTTTTAAAACAAATGTCTTTTAGCAAGTGATTGCACAATTGTCTTTAGAGTTAAATGAAAGTAGCTTGAACTGGGTAAATGTGTGTCTGTAGCAGCCAGGTGTAGAAGATAGGTGAAGAGTTTCACACTAGCTATCTGTGAGGCAAGCATGATGGATACCAGTCTTTGGCATCCCTGCAAAGTTACGAATACTCAGTATACTTTTTCATGCTAAATCAGCTTGTGGATTTTGACCTGCAGAAATATGTGGCATTTCACAATTCAATTATTTATATTCTTAATTCTATATAGTGCCAGAGGAGGTAGTGTTAAAAAAGCTATTTAAGGCCCAATTCACACTTAATAACTGAGGCAGAGAAAAGTCTATATGTTGTGAGCAACCTCTGTGCCACTTGTCACTAATGCTGGCCTTGGTAAGTAGCCAAGTACACAGGGGAGTAGTCGCTGAGATCTTCTTAAAGTAACACAGTAACGTCAGAAATACAAGCATGTTTTCCTAACGCTATAGTTTTTATCTATCTATTGGATAGTGGTCTGGGTGCCTATAGAGTTCCTTTAAGGCAATGTGGGCTTCCTCTCAGTGTGCCTGTTTGTACACAAAGAGTACTTTGATAGTGACGCATCATGAATAGATTAAATTGTAATACCTTCCTGAAGCTGATCTTGTCATGCACATATTTGTAGTTAGATCCATTTTAATGTATGCGCAACTTTACTGAAAAAAAATAAAAAAAAAATCCTGGCTATTAACACATTGATGTATGAATAGTGAGGAACGTAACGTTGATTTCTAATACTGAATCAAAATAGCCATGTTGAAAAAAGCTGGCTTGGAGACTTTTTCCAATATGGCTATTTTAGGTTACAATTTGGAGATTTACTTTAAATACTGTCCGTTCACTTTAGTGAGTAAACTGGTCTGATTTTTGTTTCATTAGGTATCTAAATAAGTGGAAATAGTTAACTGTAAAAGCAGATTACGAATGTGTTTTTAATTTTTTGTTTGTTATACATTATCCTGTGTATCCCATGTACTTTCCTAAACGCAAGGATTAATAGATGACTGCACAGTTCATTGCCTATCGGAAACGCAAGGTAGCTTCATCCGATTTATTGGCGTTGGAGGTGGAGCCTTTACTAGTGGATGAAGAGGAGACCTAAGTTCCAACATATTTCATAGTTTACATTGTTTTCTTAGTTATTTGAATGGGGAATATGTGCACATTTTTTTTATTTTATTTTTTATAAAGGAACCATCATTTCTAGGATATTTTAAAAATAATTTGTTGGTGTCCTGCCACAAAACCTCATCTGCCTAACTAACATTCTGGTTTACACTATAACATGCAAGAAAACAAGAAAAGCATATACAGGGTTATTCACTGAAGTGAGAATTTAAAGTGAATTTCAAATATAAGGCCAGAGCAGCTGAATGGAACACTTAGAAAACTTTTCCAATTCGGCTACTTTGACCTTAAATTTGAAATTCACCTTGAATTCTCACGCTGGTGAATAATACTGATCATTTTCAGCAGTCAATAATTGTGGTGCTATAAATTTTAAGTATGTGCAATAATATGTATGAATCACTGCAGGATAAAAAGCAATACTTTAATTATTGGGGTTATGGCCTATTTTGGCAGTGGTGTTGATTTGTGTGGTAGCCACCCTTTTTTGGAAATCTTGATTTAGTACTAGAAATTACTTGGGATTTGTTCACGAGTCATGGTATTATAGTGAAGTGAGGAAAAAAAAAAATTGCCAATATATTTAAGCTGGGGCTAGAGCATATTGAGAGATTATATTTTTATGTTTAAAATGGGACACTTTAAGGAGTGTTTCACATTTTTCCTTTTAAAGGGGACCTGTGACTTTCAAGGATTTGTAAAATTATGATTACCTATTTTCTGTTCCTAAGAAATATTTCTTAGATGTGAAAAATAAAATGTAGACATTCATGCCTGCAACTCGGCCCCTCAATCTTGAATCTCTGCCAATCTCTTTTAAAATACCCTGTGATTAGTATCTGGCAGTCAGTGTGGGGGTATGAAGCTGTGAGGTTACGTATAGGTATTTGTGCCGTCCTTTGCACATTTCAGATGGTTTTGCATGCAAGTGCCACATTCATATGTATAAAACTGCTAGTCCACTCCTTTTATTCTTAAATTACCTTTTTCTGCACTTTTCTGTAATAATTCCATCTTTCCATGACTTCTTATTCCCCTCTTTTTTTTTTACTTCTATTTGTTTCCCCTGATAATTTTATTATTTATTGTATTCACAAGATAAGATAAATGAATAATATTACAGAGGGGGAGACGATTTGCAATTTGAAGGATTTTTGTGGCAGGAAAATTTGTCGGAATGACAAAGGGCAATTTTGCACCTATTTTTCTATGCTTTTGGAAGCAATACATTTGTGAAACAGGAAAATACAAGTAATGGAAGAGGCGCAGTAAGGAATATTTTGGCACAAATATGGGAAATATGCACAAATCAAAAAAGTGCCAGAAAACCAGCTTAAACAGTGAAGTTGACACTTTTTTATACTTGTATACTATTTACAGTACTAGGACTTTATACTATATACTTCTATACAATTGCTTCTGTTTTCCCTCATTTGTAATCTGTGCCTTGGCTTAGCCTTGAAATGAAATGGATGAGGATGTCACTTGCTATATTTTATTGTTTTAAAAGAAAAAGGAGCTTCACATATGGGGAACAGGAATTAACACATTTGGTGATTTTTCTGTGTTTTTTTATTCTATTGTTGATTTTCCCAGAGAAGTGACTGTTCTCCTTTAAATGTGTGTATAGTGTTATACAGATTTGCCCTACTCATTATTACTGGCGAATGACTGTAGGCTGTTCTTTATTTGTATTTTATTTTTTAATTTTTTTTATTTTTTTTTGAATGGGCCCACGTATAGTTTCCATTTTTCCAGTGGTAAGATGGTCTGCTGACTGTCAACTCCTCCTTCCCTGTAATTAGAGTGATTGATTGGTGTTCTCAGGTTTATTGCAGTGCTTCTCAGAGAGTAGAGTATTGTTCTTGGCTGATACCTGGGAAGGTGCAACTTACTACTTTTCTAAAAGTGCCAGTTTCTCTAGCAAACAACACTTTTCTAAAATAAGCCATAAAAGTGATAGTAAATGACAAATCCATTCATTGTGTAGGAATACATTAAACCAATTTTAATTTTATTTTACCCTAATACTTTTTTGCTTATGTTTTATGTTGGTATATTTATTATTTTATTTTTTTTACAATATATTGTATTATGGCCCAGAATTAAATAACGCGGGCTGAAATTAGACCAGTGCTGTATGTAAAAGCATTTTATGTACGTCTGTTTAGAGGACCAATGCTTGGAGACTATTGAGCAGCAATTATTAGCACAATATGTAAAGTTACGTGTGTGTGTGTATATAAATATAGTAAATGTATATATTTAATATTAAAATTGTTTGTTAAAGTATAATATACATAATTTTCCATTGGGGTGTTTTTGGGGGAGAGGGAGGACAAGCGTACGATTAATAAAAAAAAAAAAAAAGAGTCTGCTTTTAAGATATAAGCATTAATTTAATTGCATATTTTTCTATAAACTAAATTTTTTTATTTTTTTTTTAAACAAAAAGAATTTAATACCCTTGCAAAGCTTAAATGCAATATTTTGAAAAGACAGTATAGCCTAAGTACTTGTACTAAATATTTAAAATGTCAATAGAGCAGAACCAACTTGTGGAGTCTTATGTAAGTGTAATTTAAGAGAAGTGAATTTGAGAGTTCTGATTCTAGGGAGTAACTGTAATATTTTTTAAATCATTAGTTATGACCATGGCAGGGCAGTATTGCATGAAGGAGCTAAGGTGGAGGTGGAGGGTTTGGCTTGTAGGATAGCAATCCGCTATGTGAGATTCAGATTCTGCTAAGGAGTCTGATACTTGAGTCAAATCCAGTTCTACAACAGTCGGTCACTCCATAGTTGAATAAAACTAAAAGGATACTAAAAAAAAATAAGGAAAAGGCAAGTCTGTGTACCAGGCTTCTTCAGGAACAAATATGTAGAACTAGATGTAATAACAAAGACTTGAAGTGATATGAGTCAGGGTTATGAGTCAGACAGTTATAGTATAGACCACAGTCAGACTCCTGCAGGACTTGATAGGATTTACAGTGTAAAAGGGACAGACAACATCTTACTCTCAATTCAATGATACTTAATTTCCCAACGAAATGCCTGATCTCATCAGTATTCATAATAAACTGCGGCACTCGGTAAATAAAGTGAAAAAAACATTTTGATTTGTTTGAGGGGGGCAGATAATCTAAATATTTATAATACAATTATCTAGTGTTAGGACTACATGTTTGTATTCCTAAATGTAGGAACAGCAAGGCTGAAACCTAAACTGAAGCCATAAGTAAAACTCCCCCACGAGGATTTGGACTAGTCACAAAAGATGGGTGGTTCATAAAACTGCAGCTCAGAGGGGTGAAATCTCATATCCTTCTAAATCCAAACTTACACAAATCCTTGAATGACTTTTCAAACTAATTAAAAGGTGCTAACATGACATTCCCAATTGTAAAAATAACTTATGATAATGATCAATGAACAGATTATTTTGAGAATTGTATAGGTGGTTTATGGTTAATTCGGGTGTTTTGTTTTTATGCACTTTAGGAAACTTCTTAATTATTGGGTATTGACGGAGTAATTGGAAATGTTGCTGTTCTGATTCGGCTAGTTAATTTTTATTTGACACGTCCGTTCTGTTTAATTGATTAGTTATTAGTTGTGACACTGGCTGCCAGTGAGACATTCCTGCTACTTAGAAGGAATTCTACCAGGATTGTTTAATACCTAATCCCTACGGGGTTTATTTTCCAATCTATGAATTGCAGCAGTTTGATAACAGAATTGCAAAATCCAGGTCCTAATAGCTGAATTAAAAACAAATATCCAATTACACTAAAGTCATTACATCGCTTGTTTAGTTTGAATTCTGCAGATTCTTTTTCTTTTCAATGCAGGTCAGTTTTTCTTTTATGTACCTGTGAAAACTCAGGTGTTTACTTTGTAACATCTCTGTTTTTATTATTATTTTATACAGAAAGATGTATTGCAGTCCATTCTTTTCTGTTTATTTTGTTCTGTTACATTTTTTATGAAACAATTGTATCTTTTTATGTTACGGATGTTTATATTTTTATTTAGAGACTTATTAACAGTATGGCAACTATTTTAATGCAGTTATGACAACACTGCCTGCAAGTCTATAGGAAAGTTGTTGTTTTTTGGGGGGGTGGGGGGTGTAAATTGTTTTTGTTTAAATTTTACAATTTCAAAATTGTTTTTTTATTAGCAATTCTTGTGATTATTGTACCTGATACATTATATACTTTGCACATAATGATTCTTTGGCTCTTGCTTGTACATTACGTTTGAACTGTAACAGAGTAGCTCAGTTACTAATTTAACTTATAGTATTGCTAAATTTAATTCAGCAAGGCACATTTTTATTATACTCTTTCCAGTGTCATACATATTTCAGTGACACAAGGGAAGGCTGTTCTACTCTAGTAATTGTAGTTCCAGGTGCTGATGATGTACCTGTTCTAACCAATTACAAATATGGTTTTGGATCGACTTTATATCATGCATCTGTCTGGACTGAAAATGCAGCCATTGCTTTGCTAGGAAATATTGCTAATGTGTGTTATTAATCAGTGGCTAACTTCAGATTCCAGTCTGCTCCACTTCCAGGTTTCCTTTAAATATGATTGTGGGTGATTTCAGGATGTGAACCTAAAATTTTAGTCTCTAGGAAAAAATAAATTAATTTGTTCTTCTCTAGGCTGTCATTCCTCACCTGATGAAGATTTGCAGGATTCATTTGGCGTTTTTTTCCCTTTCATAAAATCTACCTCACCTTTATTAATATATTAGTCAGTAAAATTGGTAAAGTTAAATTAAAGGACCCTTCTTCAAGAGGGGCAATGTTCAGAATGTTACACAGAAACGTTACAATTTTATTTGTAGGGGCACATACTAGATTTCAGCCAAATTGGTTTTAAATGTTGTTTGTGTCTTGAAATGGAAACTGCTCTCCAGTATCTGGCCATGGCTTTGGATATTTACATTTTGTTTTTCACAAGAATTATTACAAAACACCTGGGTAGATACTAAAAAGAAGCTACCTGTGAATGGTATGAAAGGGTGAGGGTACTGAAGATATATTTTTTTTTCCACCCACCTGTTCATTAGAATTACAAGGCCCTGCTATGAGACTGTATAGTTTCTTGTAATTTCAACAATAGCAAGGGTTCTGTCTCTCAGAATCATGGGTCCTTTTCTACATTAACCATTTCCTATACCTCTTTGTACCACTGATGTAATGATTTTTGTTTTAATATTTTTTTTTTTTTTTCAACAAAAAGCAACCAATATCATAAAATGCTTACACGGACATTATTGCAGGAGTGCCAGTGTTTAGATTTGGTCCTGTAATTACATTCATTGCATTATGTAAATCTATATACGATTTAGATATAAATAAGCATTATTTATAAATGCATTTGTCTATATTTAAAATTATTTTGTTCCATTCACTTATTGCCTCTTTTGTTCCTTGATGTAAAAATTGCATATTTTCTTTGCTATATTTAAAGATCAATAAAATTTGCTATACAAAAAGTTCTTCGTATTAGACTCATGTTTCATCAATAGGCTTATCAGATGTGTCTTGTGGATGAAGGGCTCAATCTGCAGTCTTTAAAAGATTAGGTAGTGTAATATTCTATAATGAGCATTTGGATTATACTGGTTGACCTATATAGAAGATTTATATGTGTTGGGCATTTCATTTACTGTGGAATAAATATGTGTAACATGCTTTTGAAAACTGTTTTTACATTCAGCACGTATGGCCAAAAAATGATTGACATAAAGGAATTTGGCTATCTCACACTGTGAATACAGAATGTAAAGGATCAATCTAAGCCAGCGTTTGACAAATTTGCTTGGAATCTAGGAGCCAGCAAAAAAGTTAGGAGACAGTGGTTTTATTTTTTTTGCATCTGCATGAGATGAGATGCTGATTGGCGCAGTATGACAATTTGGTGCATATGTGCAATAACCTCCCAATGCTTTCCTATCTGACTGAGATCTTCAATATCTCGGCGAAAGAGGTGAAGACAGCCACTGGGAGACCAGCACAGCATGGGGGGGGGGGGGGAAATTAGTAAAAACACCTTTCCCATGCAATCGGAGGTGAGTCAGTCACCTAAACCTACTCACTGGCAGACACACACACACACACACTCAGACATTCACACTCGCTGACAGACACTCTTGCGGTCCAGTGTGGCTGCTGAAATCGAGGGAGTAGACCAAGAAGAGACGGTAGATTTCAGCAAACTTGCCACCTGGCTCCACTCTTGTTCAGCCGACTGCCTCCCTTGCCCCTGAAAAGACAGACAAATCCCAGACACCTGGATGAAATTCCTGGTCGCCATGGTGACCAGGGATTTCTTGAGCCCTGATCTAAGCACCATGTAAATGTGCATGATTGCAAAGTTTGTGCTACAGATTTTTCACTGCACTCATTGTCCTCTCTGAAAATGGGTAATACTTTCATGCATTCGGCAGCCACCCTTCCTGAGTTGTTATTGCCATTTATATAGCGCCAACAGATTCCGTAATGCTTTACAATATTGTGAGAGGAGGGATTTAACCATAAATAGGACAATTACAAAAAACTTACAGGAACGATAGCTTACAGTCTATAGGAGGTGGGGTATAAAAAAAACATCAGGACAGGAGTTGACCTGGACATTCCTAGAACAAAAAGGTATCTGAGCCTCTGGGCATGTGTGTCTAACTCCCAGATTGTGAGTCATCTGGTTCACATTGAAGCTGCTCTTCTTTAGTGTTTAAATATTCTTGCCATTCTGCACATGCAGGAAAGAGTGTATGTTTGTGTTCTATCTGAGTACAGATCTGCTGGCCCCATGCAAGAATAAAATTTGACCAGTGCCCTGGGGTGAATAGACTTTAAGACCCGTGATCTATAGTGTGTAGTGTCACGGCAAGGCTGCATAATTTGTTATTGTGTAATGGAATATTATCCTTTAATGTAATTTTGTGTAGTGCCTGCCTGGTAGAGATGGAATATTATCAATGTCAAAAGGGGTTACTATGATTGTATGAAAGGTCAGATGACAGAAGGGGTAATGTAAATTGGATAGGAATGTGAAAAGGATTTTATCCAATGGATGGTTCCTGTGAATTAATCAAAGACTCTGCAAGGTGTGATATTCTACACTTGAAAAGCCTGAATGTCTGGCTTCAGCCATATGGCCTGTACTTCTTAATTGAGGAGTCAATCTCTTTGATATGTTAATGGCCATTAGCCTTGTTTCTGTATCATATCCAAAAGAAAAAACACATTTACCCACAGAATATTAATTAAGCCTAATTTTTGTTCTTTTATCCCTTTTGTTTGTATCTGTTGTTGCTGTAAATAATTTTGATTGTCTATATTTTTGTATGCACTGACTTTTTTTTTTTTTTTTTTTTAAATAATAAATATTCCTTTATTAAGTTCTGCCTTTATTTGGTAAAGAATCACGTTACCTGAAGAGACTAGTTAGTATTTTACAATTACATAGATATTGTATGTTATATTTGGTGGGTTTTTTTTGTTTTGTTTTTTTTTTGTTTACATGGGGGACCAAGGCACCCCATTTATAAATTGTCTTGGTGGTGGCAGCTTTAAAATAGTAATATTTATATTATTATGCTTAAGTGTGGGTGGTGTTAAGTGGGATTTTATCATTATTTCTGGTCTAGTGCAGGCAAATAGCGAACTTTAACCCCTTCACCATCACAACTACATCACGCACACTATTGAACTATTGTGTTTGTAGTAGAATACTTAAAAAAAAAAAAGTGTGTAAAATACACTATTTGAGAGAATTTAATCTGCATTTGATCATTCTCAGAATTCTCATACTCAGTTTTTATTGCAATGCATTTGCTTAGGCTCTCCCTTAGTTAAGTGTATCCAGATGTGGACCCTGTGCTCACACTGCCTTGATAGCTACGCCTCGCTGTCCAGGCCATATGTCTTGTGCAGAGAGCACTTGCAGGAAATTTGGTTCTGGACTGCCTTTATGGGTGGGATCAGTATGACATGCGCATTATCTTTGTAATGGCACAAGTGATCAAAAAACCTTTTTAAAACTGTAGCAGAGATGAACAGAAGAGCAAACTATTGAGTTATTCTAAGCTTTTGCTCGTTCTCATGTTCTCCCTTTTGTTGCAGTATTCTGCAAAAAGGACCAACTTTGATCACATTTCTTCAGCAAATAAACAAACATTCTCAGGGATACATTTTTTTGTTTGTTTGTTTTAAATAGAAATGGATATTTCATTAATACAGCTCTATTTATGCCAAGATATCATCATGGTTTATATAATCAATACAGAATAGTGAAATTGTCTGGTTGCATTGACAAGTAATACATTTTTACCGACTGGTGTAGTTTTTGTCAGTAAATCCATTACTTTAGGGTGGGCAAGCATAGATTCATATTAAGCATGTCAACATATAATGTAAATGACAAAAGATGGTATAATTTTATAGTTAAAACATGAATGAAAACAAAAATAAACATAAAATAAAAATTAGCTTGTACAATGCTTCCAAAAACAATACTGTGATTAATACTATGAAAGGTCTTTAAGTTTTGTTGTGGAGAGTTGTGTGAGGTAGTGCAAAAGAAAGAGGGAAGGAGAAAATAAATACATAAAAAGAATAGAACTGTGTAAACCAAATTCCAAAAAAGGAATAGTAACACAGAGGTCAGTACGGTGGTACCAGATCCACCAAATGGGCTTGAACCCAACACAATAAATCAAAAATGAATGTATCCCTATAGAAAGAGGGACTCAATGCTGGTTTTTAATAAAAAAGAAGGGGAAGAGTGAAAAAGAAAATGCAACATGTAACTGCTAACTTAGAGCTAAGGTAAGTAGGGAAAGGATTACAGAATCCTCAGCGATATGTATCCATAGTATCTAGAAAGTCAATACTTTATTAATATAAACAATACAAAAAGGATACAACTGGAAAAACTGCTAGGAAACAAAAAAAAAAAAAAGAAAAGGTTATGTATCTTTCACAGTTCCATAATCCTAGTTTAAATGGCTAGAAGATTACAGCCATCCACAATAGGGTCTGTAATCCGCCTTAATGATGGCTGCTAAGCACAAGAGAAACTGGATTCCTAAAAGGGAAAATCAATTAAGTAGTGAGATGGCTAATACATAAAAACCTTGGAGGTCAATGATACTAGCAAAGCTATACTACTGTATACATAGGGATAAGCAGATATGCTAAAAATAGCTGTATGGTATGAATCTAAGAGCATGTATAGGTGAGATTCATTCTATAGTCGGAAACAATGGTATAATCCAAGTATTAATTCCCCTTAAAATTCAGCTAAATAGCTATAAACTGTTAGAAAGATGCTGGATAGGCAAAATGGGGACAGGAGCTGGTGTCAGCATAAACCTCTTTAGTGTTCGACAGATCTGCCGTAACTCTAAATACTGTTCCCTAATACTCCTAAGACAACATCTTTGTGGGTGTTCTATGCTTGTCCCTAAGATCTATATAGTACCAGCCATAGCCTCCAAAATACCCCACAAAACCAAAACTCTAAGAAAAAAATATAGTGCTAGACACCCTGTGCTTCCATAAGTGAATTAAAATACAAATTGAGAAGGAGGAAATAGAAAGAAAGATGGGATAGGCAAGGGGAAAGGGAAGACGCAGGGGACATTCCATCCCAGTGTCCTCACAAAACTAAATGTGGTCCACCTTCCATTTGTCTTCTGGAGTTACCTAAAGTTGGTGCCCATATGTCATAGAATTTAGCCATATGGGCTCCAACTTTAGGTAACTCTGGAAGACAAATGGGAGATGGACCACATTTAGTTTTTTAGTCCATCTCTTATTTGCCTTCACGAGTTACCCAAAGTATTCCATCTGGCAATAAGTAAAGATTCTATCTTTGATCTGCTGCATAGTTGGTACTGCTGTAGATTTCCAGTTTTTTTATTTTTTATTTTGCAATAAACTATTTGAATGCAAAGAAAATAAAAACATGGTCAATTTTTGGACTGTATATGGAACATCTGTAATGAAGATGTTTAGAAGGTCCACCTTGGCATGACCGTATTCTCCATTGCACTTGGATAAAGAGACAGGGCCACCAAACATGGAAAAGTGATCCCTTCTCAGAAAAATTTCTATAGCAAAAAGAGTCGCATAGGGGTGAGGTACCATTGAAATAGTTTGTGTTAATTCAACTTGTGTGTACAATGGGATCTACAGGCAAAGATATTCAAGCATGGATGTGGTTTCAAAAGGTGCAAAAAGTGATACTTATAGAAATTCTGTTTTGGGATGTTATACTTGGCTTGTAAATTTGCTCTCAGGGTTATATTTTAACTGGAAAATTTCTCCACGTCATTTTTATATATTCTAATATTCACCAACTATTTTTTTAGTTGTTAACCCCATACATAGATCTTTGAAGAAATACTCAGTCATTGCAAGTTAAACATAATCTTTGTCATTAAAATCTGTAAGTCTTAACTATTTTGTCTGTTGGTGGGAATTTCCTTAA